AATGCATAAACTTGAAGTTCAGTGACAGATGATAATGCCCACTTGTTTATTAGAATTATATACATTTTTCTTTCATCTTTTACGTGTAAAATTATATGGAGCCTAAATTGGACAAAGACAGGATATGACAAAAACTTGGAGGTATATGACAAAATTATTTTAAATAATTAAAGTCTTTTTGTTAAAAGTGAAACAGATGTCACAGATTCTAAAAACATTTTAGCATCATAAGTTATCCATTTGCATTGTCAAAAGAATTTTGACATTTATTATAATACATATTTTATAGATTTCATAATATATTACATCCATTTTAGAATATTCATGTTTAGCAAATATTAAGTCACAAAGCTTGCTCTTAAAAAAATCTAAAAGGTTTTATATCAGTTAAATTTGATTACATAGTAAGACATCTTTCTAAATAAATACAGGTCAGAGTTTGTGTTCAGTAAGTTTGATAAAAAGAAAATATTACAACTAACTTGACTCCTATAACTAGTGTTCAAGAAAAAGACATGTTTGTGCTCAATATCAAGAAAGAAAACTTTTATTACATTGGTTCAGTTGTTCATAAAAATTCTCCCTGTAACATTTTGAAAGTTACTCTTAATTGTGGTCAGTTCTGTGTATCCAGTAAATTGACCCTCAATTTAAGACTATAAATATTGACCAATATGCATTTTACGTATGTTCATAATATGGATGCATTTGAAAAAAAAAAAATTAACCTAAATTGTTTATCAAACAAATTTATATCTGAAGGTATTTTAAGTATGTTCATAATTTGGATGCATTTGAAAGAAAATATAAAAATTTAACTAAACTGTTTATCAAACAAATTTATATCTGAAGATCACTTTCCTTGATAATTCAATTATGTTTGTGGAAGCCACAACCACATAAGAATTTTATATTTTTCCTTCTTACTATCTTTACTTTGTAGTGAAATCCACACTTCTGTTGTTGTTGCTTTAGAATTCAAACAGTCTAACTGATATGTATAAAGTTTATTCTGATATTTTACAAATAGTTTAAAACTCAGTGTACAAGTGACAACAATGAAACCCATATGTTGGTTGTGAAACAAACTAAATACATTCATCTCAATAACACAGGGAAGCTATGACATTCTCACATTTGAAGTTTCAATACACTGAAGAGCTTAAGTTTCGAATTTCAACATAAATCTTGCCTATAATGAGAGGTATGTGACCAGGACTAATCTTTTAAGTGCTGTAAAATAATTTTCTTTGTAATTTATGGTGTCTGTATCTCTCCTAACAGGATTTATCAAGTAACTAGGGTCAGGCAGTGTTATTGAAACCACCTGTACTGTAAACTATTACATAGATTTGCTAGTAGTGGCAATTAGTTTTGTTTGTATAGTGAAACAACATACAAGGACATATGTTGAAATAAACTTGTTTGAAAGTTCAAAGAAATGATATTCAAGTACTGAAAAGCTTTCTTACTATCATATATACAGTAATGTTGAAATGCGCCTGCTCTGGACTGAACGAGAGTGGCCACCAACAGGCATGATAGTTTACGTCAAATGTACAAAGTTCACACTACTAACCTCATGATTTATTCGGCACAATGAAACATAAACTTGAAATAAAAAATACATTTATGAAAGAAAATTAAAATGTTTTTTATGTACATATATAAACATGAAATCCTAGTTAAAAATACTCGTTTATTGTTTAGGTTTGCTTAGAAATATTATTTTCGGGTCTTGTATATTACTTGAAACCATAAGGAGGGTATGTGATTATTAAAAATAGATAAAATTTGCATTTTATGGATGATAAAAAATTCTGGGAATTTTAAAATAATGTACTAAGCATAAAAAGTAATAAGTTTAAATCTGGAACAAATATAAATATCATAATCATTTCTTATAAATACCATTTCCTAATGTAATTTTCAAAGATATTAAGATCATAATGCAAACAAAACTAAATTTATCAAAAGTAACATGCTTTATGTTTCTTAAACTGCATGCATTTCTGAAAGTTCTTATGAAGTTTCAAACAGTTTCATCCACTAGTTTTATTGTTGGAATGAAATATAGCAAGACTTGCATTGGCTATGCAGAAGGTTGGTAACCGGTGGTAATCGGGTTAATGCTTAGTATCAAAAAAGAAAACTTCTGTAACACTGGTTTGATTGTTCAGTATAATTTTCACTGTTACATTTTGAATACTTAGGAGGTATTATATAGACATGTTGATTACATATCAAAAGAGGATTTATCTTTTTTATACAAATTATTTGTTAGTCCTCACTTGGATTAGTGTGTAAAGTATAGGTTTCTTTGTCTAAGAAAAAGATATAAAGTTACTTTCAATAGTTCATATTAGTGTTATTAGGATAATCCTGGAAATAGTATTGTTATCTTATAAGTTTAAATCTTATTTTATCTTAAAAGAATCAGATTAAAATGTGATTTTATTAAAGTTGGCAAAATTACCAGTTGGATCCATTAAGGCCTGTGTTTTCTTTATGCTGTATCCTGAAGACAAGTTTAAGATTTACAAAAGACGGTTTTATTTTTCTAACAGGATGATTGATTTTCTTATGGTTTAAGTTGCTACTGGCAGTAATGTAAGTCAGCACATTAGACATTTAACCTTTCCACATGGGTAGGGGTCAGAGCTCATGTCATCATGTTTTGTAAACTTGCTAATTTGCTAAATATAGATTTTTTTTGTGTTACATGGTATATTGTTTTCTGCTTTTGCTCAGATTGTATTGCAGGAGTCATAAAATGTAAAGCATACCATTATTGACAATCTAGAATATGTAATAAGAACCTCCTACCCTTTCTTTTTGCTGAGTTATCATTATATTTAGCAAACCCATCACAGTGACTCTTCCTCATTTGAAAATACTTGTTTACCTACACCTACTTCTCTTAAGTACATGTTTATAACCAATCAAAAGTTCTCATTTTGAACTAAGTAATCCTGTTCGTCATCTTAAAGTATTTATACGGGTAAAGCTGTTATTACCGTTGTAGAGTTTGAAGAGTGGTAATTAAGGCAATATGCTGATCAGAAATGAGATTTTTTAGACCTAAGTACAGCTTAGTTAGGAAGCCTGATAAATTACCGTGGAAATTTTGTGGTGTTGGTATAATATTTTTTTGGTATTTCAAAATGCATATATTAAACCAACAAAATTATTATTTACATTTAGTTATTCATGGTTCATAAAACAAAAAAATTAATACTTATAAGTAGATGTATACTGTTACAAGATTTAAGCTATTTAGAAAAAAAACATATATGGTTTCCTATTACAGTTTGCAGTCATTTTAGAAAACACAAAAAAAAAGGTAATTTAGATTTTATTTCCTAATTTTTATGGTGGTTATGGTGTCAGTCAAATTGACCAACCACGTATAAAGTAGAGAAAATAAAAGATAAAATATAAAGTTTTCTAAAACAAATGTTTCATAGTTATTTAGGAGGCTATAGAAATTATGCAAATGAAATTTGAAATTTTTCAAATGCAGTAAAGTATTTTAAATTTAAAATCAAAATTACTTTGCATGTTGGAAAGTAAACATTCTGAAATAACAAATAAAAAAACAAATCTTTAATTAAAAATCCTTAATACTTGATAATAATAAAAACTGATAGTTTGTGTACGAAAGCCTTGTAATGTTTACTGATAAACTGCAAAATTTTGTGAAGATATGCATACATTGTCAAAAGTTATAGTATGACTACTTTCATGGTTACTTTGGTGGTTATACACTGAGTGGTCACAATTAAATAGACACCTAATTTTTCGTCATTTAACTGATTTATGCTAACTAATTTGTGTTCA